AAGAGAAATGGATTCACAGTGAGGAAAAAAACAAAGTAACAAACAAAAAACCCACAGCCTGTATCACAGAAATCTAAGATGATCCCACACAGGTTATGCATTTTGGAGCGCAGATCAGACCTATAGCAGACAGCCACCAGTTGGAATGTGAAACCCATGTGCCCATCCCTGATTTTAGAGATTGCCAGTAGACACGTCAAACCACAAGGTTTGTTTCAAGGTTTGTTTGGCAGTATCAAGCAGTAGCTCCTGTTAATTGCTACTGCTTCATTTCTTCTACTACTGCATCATTTCTTCTAGAGACAGGCAGAGCTCCACACAGCTGCTGCATCACTCAGAAATAAAGGGAATTTAAAACTATTCAGACACTTTCTTTTGTATCTTAATAGACCCACGGAGCATAAAAATCCTTTTATACTCCAGAGACCACTACTTCAGCTAATGGTTGCATATATACACTAATGCAGAACTGAAAATATACTCTAGAAAAGGATGTCCTAATCTCCCAGACTGACTCCTGGAAGAGGGGAATAAACACTAGCCAGCTTGGCATCTTGCTTACCTGGCATAGCCAATGATCAAGCTGCCAAACACCGTCCCAATACCTGCTCCCGAACCAGCCACCCCAACCGTGGCAGCACCAGCACCAATGAACTTTGCAGCAGTGTCAATATCCCTGGAAACAGCACTGGTCTGGAATTCCCGGCGGCTTAGCTGTGGATAGGAAACAGCAGCTGGCTGTGGGATACAGAAGAAAAGACACAGTAATGTCACACTTTATTAAAACATATACTTTTATATATAAAACATTATCACTATATCTTCTTTACCCAAAGCAGAGCAAGATCAGCAAAACCTGCTAAACCATCACTGATGTATGCCACAAGTGATGCCCCCTTCCCAGTCACTCGATGCACAGGTTTTCTCTTCTAAGCATCACAGACGGTAAAGACAGAAATACTAGACCACATTTACTGCCCCAGTCTTACCTGAATGGTCTGAATCTCAGGCCTGCTGAAAACAGACACTGACACTGGCCTGGCCAGAGCCCTGGAACAGCACCGGAACTGCACAGAACAAAGGCAAACACCGCTCAGTTAGATGCCTAAGCCTATCCTTTAAGTTTAAAATATGTCTAGTTTAACCAGTTGAGCTATATCTCCAAGCAATTTTGCAGCAGACCACACTGCAGCACTACAAGAGTCACATTTGCTACACCAGAATTTAGGCATTATTATAGCTCCAAGCATTTATTCCTAATTCCACACTTTGGGAAACGAAAGTGACCGAGTACCCTGACACACAGCTCAGCATGATTCTGAAGGAGCCCTTGGGCTCTCCCTACGATGCTAAAATGGTCATTAGTGCCCTCGGGTCACCAGAGGTGACCTTGCCTCCCCCTCTAATAAAGCCAGGACGAAACAACCTCCTGAATCCCATTGAAGCTAAGGTCACCCCAGGCAGCGTTTTGAGCCAAACACAAAGAAACAGAGACTTCCCAGCACTGCACTCCCCTGACTGCCACTACCTCCCTCTGGCTAAAGGTCACTTACCAGAGCTGGAGAGCCGAGAAGCGCCACGGGAGTCTGCATTTTGGGTGATCTATTGACGAGGGAGAAAAAAAAATGGAAGAATTAGGAAACTAAACAAGCAGGACCCCAGGAGCTGCAGTCACCGCCCGCTGGTCCATAGAAAGCGGAAGGGGCATCCCCGGGGCCCCCGCAGCGCCGCGTTCGGCCCGGTTCCCGGCTCTGCTGCTCCGTCCCTCGCAGAGCAGCCTC